GTCAACTTTGCCAACAACGTTAGGGATAATATTATTTATTTCAAAAGAGTTAAGATATAATGTTTGTGCATATGGTATGGCTCTCATAGCCGTTGTAGTGGTTCGGGGAAGATTGATGGGAAGAAGTGGTCAGTAAATTCCCTGTTGAAGCTTGGACCAAGTGAGTCGACAATGAAGGATATGCGCTGGGTCAATTCAGGCCGGTGCTGACAAAAAACTGACACCATCGAGTGTGCCACGTATTTGCTTTCTGACCTACTAAATAGCGTACCCACCTCTGTGGTTCGGATCGGGTCTTTATTGTGTAGTGCTGTGGAATGGGTTAGTGCAGAGTACGAAATTCCAAGTAGGACCAGATTATCCGTCACAATTCGGTTGAGGAGCGAGGTTGGGGGTGAACCGATGCCGCACCAGACCACGGATGCACTCGGCATGTGCTGGTTTGCCTGTATTGGAAGTATCATAGGCGGAACCAACAGGCGCGATGAATTGGTTTGGACCGAAATTTTGAAGTAGTAATTTAACAGCGTGATTAGCCGGGGTATAAGAAACACCTGTTGATATGTCAGAGACGGGTGTGGGTACAGGGGTTATTCTACATGCTGGAGAAAAGATCCAAGGTGTTCGTGGAGGGTCCAGATACCATGGAAGTCGTGGCACTCCTGTAGTTGCTGGAGGAGATCAGGGCCAAAGAAAGGAAGTTTTGGGCATACCAGGATGCATTCGATCAGTTGCTGGATGCAGACAAAGTGGCTGGTGGTGAATTTTTGGCCACCGGGGCAGACAGGGCAGAGACAGCCCTCAGTGGTGAGTTTATAGGAGATATCATGACGACACTCTTACACGTTACAGGACAATGCCACAAGATGGGTTTATCATATAAGCCTCAGACACAAGGTGCAAATGAGGTACGACATAGAAAGATGAAGGAAAGTGTAAAGTATGAAAAAAAGGCCAAATAGCAAGATATTGATAGGTGTGAGCGAAAAGGTTTCTAATAGAGCGGCAACGAAACACTAAATAAAATCCCTTCGGCGGAAACAGTACTGATAGGATTATATATAGGCAATGTCTCAGCCTCACAATCCCTCAGAGTATTGCTGTTTTCACGAGGCATACCTAACTTTACCAAAACACTCATTTCGTTTGCTTACTTCAAATGTCACGATATTTAGACTTAACCTAAGCGTTTAATTACTCTAAGGCGTTAATATCGCCTTGATAGACCGAATCTTACACTCGTGCATGTATCTGTTGTACAGTGAACGGGACTGTAGTACTTTGTGTTGAGTTCGTTACTGGTTCTGCGGATATTGTATCAGGAATATCATCGTGTGATAAATTTAAAAATTAAGTAATGGGCTGTAGTAGAGACGGTTTAGCCATACGGCAACCAATCTTTCCTATGTATCTGTGTCATACATGCTGTCTTATTCACATATTCACAAAAGTGTGCCGGGAATTCTACATCGAGTACTTGAGTTGGGTGCGTTGCTAGTGATCTTAGCTCATTATCAATGTATGGGTTGGAACCATGAATATTTCTTGCATAGGTGTAGTCAGAATTTATGGTAAGTTTGTTTCGTTTGAATCTTGGGAATTCTGGTTAGTATTGTGCATGACATTGTAAGTTGTACGTTGTGAACACGGCGTATGAGTATGTAATCCTGTATTAATATGTTGATGGGTCGAACTTGGACTACTTATGGTATCAATATGCGAATTATTATTATTGTTTCCGTTGTTAAACATTTGTTCATGTGTAGTCATATCATTTGGATGTATATTCATTTGCACATCCATTGTGTCGTATGTATCTGCGGGGTCTGACATAGTCATTACCGGTATAGTACCACTACCGTTAAACATTTGTCCATGTGTAGTCATGTTATTTGGTTGTAGATTCATTTGTATATCTATTGTATTATATGTATCTGCGTGGTCTGTCATAGTCATTGCTGGTATAGTACCACTACTATTTGGGGCAGTGTGAGTATTTGTACTGTTGTACCTATGAACATGAACAGAATTATTGATCGGTTTATGAGATGTATTGTGCTTAATATAATGTTGTTGTGCGAACCCATGTGTCGGAATTAAATGAGTTGTTTCTGGTATAGTAGGAGTAGTGTATGGGCCAGTATCAGTATAAATGGTGCCATAGCTATGAGCAGAATCATAATTAATGTTGGGTAACCCATGTGTCGTAATTGAATGAGTTGTTTCTGGTATAGTAGGAGTAGTGTATGGGCCAGTATCAGTATAAATGGTGCCATAGCTATGAGCAGAATCATAATTAATGTTGGGTAACCCATGTGTGGGAATTGAATGAGTCATTTCTGATATAGTAGCAGTACTATTTGGGCAGTATCAGATGCTGTCGTTGTTATCAGCAGAAACATAATTATTAGGATTTTAGGGTTTAGGGTTTTATAAAACCCTAAAACCCTGGATCAGTTGTATGTGTTATGGGAACCTCGTGTTCATTCAGAGCATTCTCACAAGATATAGAGAAAATTCATCGGAAGGATCTATGTGTGATGGGATTTTGTTGTGGGGTGTATTTTCGACCTAGATCATAGCCATGCTTGGATTTAACATATTTTTGATTGTAAACTGTTGTTGATACATGCAAATCTACTATACGACAGATCTGTTTATTGAGTTTGTCACGAGAAATAGTTTTTCAAAGCTTGTTCCGGGAGTATGGGTGACAAATCAGTATGCAAATGATAATGACCATGTAAAGTGCCACGATTTTGACACTCATCTCTTCGAGTAATGGAACAAACTCTACCAGCTATACCTCTAGGTTGTGTGGAAGCTGGAGTTGACTTTCTTGTTGAGTATGGTACTTTTAAAAGTTGCTCTTGAAATATTTGAATGATTCGTTGATATACGTCTGCTGCAATTACGGGGTTCTTACAAAGTAAGTCAATTTGGCGGTGTTTATGCCAATAAGGAACTCCAATTTCTACGTTATCTTGTTCACCGGTGTTTTGTATAACTGTGCCTAACTTAACTAACAATAGATTATTTGAGACGTCAGGGGATATGGTGACAAAATGGGACGCTGGACCATAAAAATAATGCTGTGCATGAAATTAATTTAAGTAAGTAGCCGATCTGTATTTTGAGAGTGATGTACTAGTATTCGTGACATTCAGTAGCGGGACAAACATGTTTGATATAGCTTTGGCCTGTTTGGATTTAGGATTATTGGTGGCGTATTCCATTTCTTTTTCAAAGCCGGGATTATTGATTGCATCGTATATTCCTTTTAATTTTTGAGGATGTTTTGTAAATTATACAGATTCGGAATTTGCACATTCATGCCTTCGTATCTGATCTGTGTTGAGGAATACGAATTCAGAGTTCGTGACGAATCTATCGTCGTAATAATGCAAGAGATGATCTAAAAGTTGTCCCGGTAATGTGCCTTTTGGTTTAATTTCAGTGCCTGAAGCAAATAGGATTGGGAAACAAAAGTTGTAGAACAGAACCGTGTTCAATTTGTATACGTGGATTCCCTAGTTCTGACCCATTAGGATCATAAGAAACATTTGTGGGCATATTCGTCTCATTTGCGGTCGTTCGCGATGGTTTTTCTTCCATTGTTGGAACATGTATTGATTGAGGGTATTGTGATCTGATGCAGTGTTCAAACCAATGGTTTTGGTTTGTTTTAGGGCAGTTAATGAAGCGTCTTCTTGAAGAATTCCGGACGAGTATAATGTATTTTGAATTGTTGGGGACATTGATTGTTTTGCTATATTATCGCCCGCAGAAGCAGCTACATTTATGGCTTTGTCTTCGAATACAATGTCTGCTCCAGACAATATATAATCAGGTATGTTTTCTAGTTCAGTTTGTAATTGTTCGATAGGAATAATATTAATATCTTTATATAGGATATTAACTTGTTTAAATAAAGATAAATATTGGTACACAACAAGAGGTCTTACCGTGAGAAATTATGTATATTGCTCGCACTTGGTTGCAGAATCTCTATAACTCCGTACATCTCTAAATTTTCTTCCAGTGAGACAGTGTACTTTTTTTTTTGTAAACTTGTAGCAAATTTCTGTGGACCATCCATAGGGAAAGAAATCATATGTCCCATAAGTTTTAAATGTAAAAGCCGGGCCTCCACATTAGAATCTTGTAATATAAGCGTACTCTTAAAAGTACGTAAACTCTTAAATGGGTTTAACGGTTCTTTTTTTAAATAAATACCTTTTCCATTTTACATATCCGATATTTGGAGAAGGCCATTAAAAGGCCCCAGTAAAATACCAAATATAAGATTTGGTCTAGTTCTATTAATAGAACTATATTAACCTTCCAAATCTATTTATATCTGAATACTTCGGTAGCGAGATGGCTCAACCGAACATAAGGCTAAGAATCATATGCTTTAGAGCCGAAAAAATCAGGGCGAGGTAATTTCGGTGTGGTGCGCTAATCACATTGGTAAGAGCAGATTCGAGAGCCTCGTGTCCTGGGCACCATCTAGTATAGGACCGAACACGGACGCTTGGGTGGTGCTTGATGCGGGCCACCACATTCACGCTCGTGTACCGACCCTCAACCGTAGTCTGCACACGAACGTGCTTGGGAATAAAACACCGGCGGATGGTGCGGCTATTATTAGTCATCACAGTGGCAATGTCGGCGTACTTTGGTGTCAAGATGGCGTCCAAAACATTGATATACAGTACGCGAAGCATCAAGTCCGTCCCTGAAATATTCCCCGTGAGAGTATGGACATCCGTGTGGCGCATGACGATCCCTCGAATGTCACACATGTCTGCGTAGAGCTGCAGAAAATCTGAACTGCACCCCACGAGAGCAGCGCACACACAGGCGTTGAAAAGCTTTCGTAGTCCGACGGGCGTGATATAGACGTGTTAGTATACAGGGCACTAAGCTCACTGGTAACCACCTGGACGTTAAAGGACATGCGGGCGGTGGTGTCTTTCAGCCATTTTGTGAGTTACGTGAGTCTCTCCATGCGATCGGCGTCGAATTGGTCCATAAAGATGACAAGATTGAGTGCGGCGCGGAACATGATGGCTGTTGACCTAGCGTAGTGGCACTTTTTGGCCAGCGCAATCTGGTCCTCCGACATGCAATATGTTTCCAACCATGTAGAGTGGGCCGCAAACTGCTCACGAAGCTCATCAGTTCGCCCCGCGACACTGGACGACAGGGCTGTGGGGTAAGCGGCTTGTCCAAACATAATGATACTGGTCATGAACTTATTGACGTCGGGAAAGTTCCTGGTGTAGCTCGACTTTCCCAGGGAATCGACAAGGTTTGACCGTATGTCGGTATATAACTGTATACATGCGTTGTAGGTTGTCTCGTTTGCATGGTCGGTGCAGTCTAGGTCGATATATATCTTCAACATATAATATCGAATAGCCACGAGCAGTGCCTTGGCAATGATGAACCGGTGCTGGCCATCGGTGAGAGCGTACACCGAGTCTGCGCTGCGATCCCGGAGCATAATGGCGGAGAACCAGACAACGGGTACGGGTGCGTCAGGTCGATTGCGCATAAAGTACAGTCAGTTACCCATGTCAGTCAACCGGATGTAGAAATCGGGTAGGACAGCACGTTGTGTCACACTGTTGATTATTGGGTGTTGAAACACCTGTGCGACCGTGTTGCTACCCTCCTGGATACCGAGGTCTTGGTTCTTGGTTGACACCATTGCGATTGAGACGGAAGGATAGATAGCTATTACAACTAATTATACGTGCTTAATTTGTGATTTTAGAAAGACGATAGGTTTTATTCCAAAACATTACCAAAAAAAATTCGTTGAGTACACAAAAAAAAAGGATGTACTTTACATGTAAATAAATCTTTATGTATTTTATATTAACACTAAATAAAGAAGAAGGTAAATACCATGACAAACGGTCTGTCGATAGCTCTACTGTGAGCACTCAGATTCAAGATCGTGCCAATCAGTAGTGTTCTTTTTCAAACTGATATTTGGAATCTAAAAAACAAAACAAAACTGAACACTAAATGACCTAGGAACATGACAATATCGGATGTCCGTGAGCGAATGTCTGTAGGAATTTACTCAACATCGTGTATTGTATTGTGGGTTGTAACATCAACCAATGAAGACTACTAAAAAAACGTTGAATTTATGTTGGCACACACAGTGTTGGATTCTTGGAATAAACGAAGAAGAACTGGTTTTTTCTTTTTACTAAAAAAAATGTCTCACACTCACAGACTCACAGTGTGAATGTACACCTTCGCTTCCTTGCACGCTTGTAACCTGCAAACTAAAAAAAATAGTTGCAAGTGCTCGCACGGTATCGAGTACTAGAGGTATACCTTCAGTGTTCTTTTTCGCACAGCTGGTGTTTGGAATCTTATAAAGAGGAAAAACTGAACAGCGACATAAGTATAATGTGAGTCCTGTTGAGGCTCGATTCTTAGAGTAATCTTCTGCGGGAATTTATTCTATCATTTGTCTAAAAATAAGAATTATATTGGGGGTTGTGTACTAACCAATGAAGTTGTGTACACATAGCATGTATAAAAAAAAAAGCACTGGTATTCTTTTGTTTGTTTATAAGTGTCATATTACAAAAAAAAACCCCTCTCCCCTCTCGGTCCTTGAATGATCCGGTCGGACGCTATTGTTCACGTCAAAAACAAACAGAATATACACCATCTCTGACTCTGAGCCTCGAGTGTAAACTCACTAAACTGCATCAGTTTCGCGCTCCACCTCTTCCTCTCTACTAAAGTAGAACTCACTACTAGAGGCGGACATATTTTTTAATTGTCCATCCACAAACAAGCGCCAAACTCCAGAGTCCAAACTGTCCATAAATATTACCAGGTCACCAATGAAGGTCCAATATAAGCGTAGTAAAACCATACGAAGCTTGTAATGGACAACATAAACCATAACATAAAATGTAAATGGGGTTTTCCTTAAAAAGGGGTTTTTCCCCTGTTCATGAATTAGTCATGATAAAAATAATTCTTAGTATAAATGCCCTGAGCAGGCACCATAATAAAGCACTGATTCTAAGCTCTTATAATTGACAGTCTAACAACTTATCAGGTCCGATACTCTACTCATTTTTTTCAACGTGACGAACACCAAGTGAGAGCCAGAAAACAAACACAAAGGTCGTAGTAATTTCAAGATGTTTTAGGGTTTTAGGGTTTAGGGTTTGTCATTTTGAGGGCCGGAGATATATGTAATATAATACACCACGAAATGAAGCCCAATTATGAACGAGCCTGGAAAGACGAAGAAATTGGGGCTGGTCAACACTACATAATCAATTATGTATCGTCAGACATAATGGCCACTCTGAGTGCAAATATGACTCCGACAGAGATGTTCATTATGCTATAACAAAATTATGGACACGTCGGAGAAGGAGGCAAGATACGGATAAGACAAGAACTTGGGAAAATACGACAACAAGACAACGAGAACATGGATAAGTTTATTCTATGGCTGAACACAAAATTTGTTGACGCCTTCAATATGAATATTGTACTCAACGACCCCGTGAAGATCACATTTTTAACCGGTGCTCTACATACAAGTTACATCTCTATAGTAACTCACCTGCTTACAGATAGTGCTATGGTACTAAGCTACGGTGCTGCCTTAGCATATGTACAACAGACTGCATTGTAAATTGAAGCCCAGATTCTGAATACCAATGCAACATCGACTTCGGATGCCGCTTTTACTGCCACAACTAACGTAAAATGCCACAAGTGCAAGAATTATGGACACATCGCACGAAATTGTCCATTGCCCCCACAATTCAGTCAAAACTACAACTCGAGAGGCCGAGGGAGATTTAAAGGCCGAGGAGGCCACCATAGTCGAGGAAGATTTCTTGAACGAGGCAGTTTTCAAAATTCAGGACAAGGCCGCGATTCTACTAGTAACAACACGAGGACTCAGCCATATTGGTCGGCCACCCAAAACCAACGAGGAGGATTCAACAGACGATTTGGAAATCGAGGACGTGGAGGATACAAAAATTATGGATTTAAAAATCGACATCAACATGCTAATTCTGCACTTGCAAATCAAAATCTTGCAGACAGTTTGCTCATAAGACAGCAAGCTGAATTTGACAAGAAAGATGCCGCAACACAATAATAACAATATGCCAATTGGATACAGTCAGAATACGTGCATGTACAAAAATTAAGACGCACACCTATAATGTCCCAACAACCAGCTAATGATTTTATGATGAACGCGCATGCCAGCCAGGTAGACACAGAATTCAACCCAAGACTGTCCCAATTGAGAAGTCCAGGAGGATATTGACTTGCCGTCGATTCATGTGCGACCAAGCATATTTTGCCATATTCAGATAAAACAAGCGCACTCAATTTACATGGTCGCCCTGTTATCGACTACTAAAACCGCCAATGTATTGGAACATCTGCTGCAGTTATTCGACCAACTACACGTATTATCCGGAAGAAGAGTTTCAACGGTACAATTTGACCAAGGCAGCCAATTTACATCAGTAGAGATGAGAAGAAAGTTATGCCACTTGGGATATATGATCAGATAAGTACCGACGGCCACACCATAACTACACGGAATTATTGAGAGAGCTCATCAGACTATCAAAGATCGAGCCTGCGCCATGCTTACGTATGCAAATTTTCCTACAAAGTTTTGGGGATAAGCAATAATTCAAGCTGGTAATATAACTAACGCCTTTTCGTCAAACCAAGATCGACCACCACCAATAACACTATTGTCACAACAGCCAGCAAACACCGACCGATACCGCGTACTTGGATGTAAGTCTCCATTTGCTAATCGTGGCCGACCAGGGATACTAATTGCACAACCACTTAATACTACTACGGACACATACAGAATTTATAATCCGTCCACAAAGACAATCGCTATCAGTAGGGTTTTAAACCCTAAAGAACCCTAAAACCCTAAAACCCTAAAAAAACATTATATTTAGTACTTCCCCATATTTATTTTTCACGACGGACCTTTGATTCAAATTTTCGCCTCCGAAACGTAAATCTCGGTCACCAGTAGGTCACCAGTGTAGAACTGAATACCACTTCAAAAAAACCCACAGACCCCACCAAAACGTTGACTTGAAATTTGGATTTTCAATCAAAATTATTTATTTTATTTTATTTTATCCAGTAGGGAGTCTGGGGACCCACAGTCCCACAGTCCCACAGTCCCACATCCGCGAAAAATGTCGGGCCAGGCCGAATCCCCAATTGAGACGTTCGTCCCCAACGACTCCTTACCCAATGACCAGTGGAAATAGCTCTACAGGCCAATCTCAATCAAATTTTGGGACCGGCTCTAACAACCCCAAACAATGATGGGCCCATCTCCAAGGGGCCTTTGACTGATGACCAATGGAAATCAACCATACACCAAATGCTCACTAACCTCTGTGCAAAAACAACCAACCTTGAATCCGAACTCCGGGACCTTAAATCCCAAACCCGTGCACCTATAGATGAAGACACACCCGACACTTTCCGATTTGGCTCCACAAGCCCGCCTGCTCCGCCTGCATAAAGACCGCGGTCACAGGCGCCCAGTGGACAAACCTGCAAAACCGAGCCCTAAAAAATCGCCCGACCCCACCAGCTTCTCAGTCCCAATGCAGCCGCCAGTACCCGAACACCTTTTGACGAAAGTGGTGGGCCGCCCGATGCCGGACAAAACTCTTCATGAAATGGATGACATAACTCCGGTATGGCTCTTCTTCCGAGCAATTTACCCTAACGGCAAGCCCCCATCCCAATCAGTATTTAAAAAATACTGGCATGCCCAACCAGCCCTCAATCGCCACCACTTTCTCTGGTATCTTCCGTCTAAATCGGTATCTCAACCAAATCGCCGCGGAAGCTCCACCAGTTTCATCCGCCTTTGTGTTCCTAGCGACTTTGTCGCCCAGGTGAAATGACATGCAGCACTTACGTGGAAATGGCAGCTTGATGAAAACATCGACCCCCGCTCCCAACAACATCCCGACGCTACGAAAGCAGTTTTAATTCACTATCTCCGCACCAAGCGGGAGGCCCGCTGCACACATGAACGAGCGCCAAAAATTCTTGCCCGCAGCATGGATGCACTACTGAGCCCATTTATCCACTCCACTAACGCAGACATCCTCCAATCTACCGCGGACCGTCTCCAGAAGGCTTACCAAGCAAAGCATGATGCAGACTTCTTCTCACTTAACCCGCGAATCCCGGTAAACGCTAAAGAATCAGCGCGTGCGGAACCCGGACGACTTCATATACCAACGGTCTCCCCGACACAATCATCCGACACGATGGATAGCAATACGCAGCCTCAGCTTTCCACGACGGACTCTTCGACGACAGGCAATGATATAGAAATGGCTGACATCGTCAAAGAGGAGAGCTTAGTAGTATTGACCAATGATGAACAATGTTAGGACCAATGAGGATAACGCTCTTCAACCCACAAGGTCTCAACATAGACAATGCAGCACATACAGATAAGTGTTTGAACGTTATATCGATTTTAAGTCAGGTTGATGATATGTGTGTGGTTGAAACCTGGCATAACACCACATTTCTTAATCATATACGCTCGAACACACGCTATCATATACTACATCACACTATACGGTATAATATCTTACCCTTCACTCTGTGGTATTGGTATCTTTTCCAAACATCACCCATCGAATTTTCAACTTCAACTTGTACACTCTTCACCGTACGCGGTGTTCTTTGTGTGCTTTGGCGTTCATATGGCCGTGTTCTACTTTCCACTCAAATCGCTTACTGAAGAAGACGTCAGGCGATACATGAATCCCCCCGAGATTGGCAGTTTCCAACCAGATGTCGTGTGGGGAGATTTCAACTTCAAAGCCCGGAAGTATGGCCACGCATCTACAAATCACGGTCTACGTATGAAAACGATTGAGACTACTCTACGTAATACGTGGCACTTGGACTACCTCTATGCTGGCGGCTCAACTGGTACTGAACATGCGTATCATCCACCTACCACCCCCGCCTCCCTCCAAACTTATAAGCTGATGGACTATGGTATCTGTTGTGACCACACCTTTGGACTCGATCTCCAGATACTTCCCACGAATCGGACCAACGCCTCCCCTCCCATGGATGTAACCGATATCGCCATCGACTGTATCACCTATGCAACAAATCCCGCGCGCGATTATTCCAAGCACGGTCGTATCTCACTTTACATGGACCAGCGGAAGGGCTGCTACGAATCCTCGACCGCATCTGGCGCTATGCCACTAACCCACAAATCTTTGGAGGGTCCTATTATGACTTGAACAGACCTTGGGTTCAGCGGCTGCCAAACCACTCATTCCGCCCACGCCTGACCGCCCAAAGCAATGCTCAAATGTTCAAAAATATTGCTTACCAACAACGGTCTCCGCGCTAACCCTGCATACCGGCCCCGACGATGTAATGGAGGCAATACTACGCTATCCCAATAAGGGACCTGGCCCCGACGGGATTCACATCCTCCTCCTGAAGGCCGCAGTGGAGCGCTCTACCAAACGCCGGACATTAGGACGCCCCGACGCCAATAGCCCACTGATTAGACTCCTTGCCGAAGCATTCACTGAGCTACTGAAGGCGGGTACCTTCCCCGCAGCCCTAAACTGCAGCCTCCTGACAGCGCATCCAAAGAAAGCCGATGCAGATATCACCTCCCCCGCCGACTTCCGCCCCATCACGCTTACGCAAATAGTTAGACGCATCTTTGAAAAGTGCTTTCTTAATATGATTACGAGCCACCCCGGCTCTGCTACCCATGCTACCCAAGCTGGCTTCAAATCACGATACTCCTGTCATACCCAAGCACTTGCCGCCATGGAATCTGAGACACAGTCAGAAGATGAGTGGAACGACGTCTGTCTGGACATAACCAAGGCATACGACAAGGTCGCTTTCCCACGCCTATGGGTACTTCTGCGTCACACTGGAATGCTCAAAAACTGGATCAACTGCCTCCGCGCGCTGTTTGGGAGGGTCCCTACCCGAGTGACATACCGCGGCACGCTCTCGTCTCTATTCCATAGAACGAATGGCATCCTACAAGGCTCAATCGTCGGCCCCCAGCTCCAAGCCTCTCGATCGGTTTCGCTTCAGCCCTTCTTAGATGACATTGATGCGTGGGGACGTAAATCTGGCCTCGAACAGGGTGTCAATAAACCTGGAGTACGATCTACCGACTTGCGACACGCGGCGCCAACCCTCCGTATAAATTATGAGCTTATCACGCCGACGCTTGCAGACGCACCTTGGAACACACGTTACTTCCCCCTGAAACTGGCGCCCACACATGCCGAACCGAAACACTCCAAATACTTGGGGGGTTCCCACTTTCTCACGGAGTACCAGGAATCAATTTCGCTAGACATATGGAATCCCTGGTTGCAGCATTGTCACTGGATGTCGCCTCTTTCCGCGCTTATGGCGTCCATGGCTTCAACTGGCGACACCCCCGCAATCGACTGGTGATGTTCAAAACATTCATTCTATCCACGGCTACATATGGGCTGAACATTATTGCCTGGGCTCCGCCTATATGGAAGGATACGTTGGACCCCTATCTGAGCGCTTTAAATCAGCACTCATCCAAGTAGCAGCCATCATCACGGGCACTAAATACCCTTGGTTTCCCAAACATCAAACAAACTTACTTCACTTTTGCGGCCTGCTCCCTTTTGCGACCATTCGTGGACTACCTCGGATGTTGCCTGGGAATACAACTCGACATAATGGACAGCACAAATCCACTTACCCCTCTGACGCAACCCGCCTGGGCCCACGATAAACCATCACCGCGCTACCCATACAGCATCTATGCTCACCTGAAAATTGTACACAAAGCCACGGGCGGGTGTACACCCGACCATGTAGCCCTCCGCTAACGCTGTGACGACATCAGAAAGAACTCAACAAAATGTTGGTCCAACAAGGAGATTGCGGCAATGGCCCGGCGCCAATACTACTACCAACTGGTTATGGGTAAACCGCCAACCTCAAACCGAGACACAGCCAGACACGCCAGTTTTAATCGCTGCTT